GATACAGACGGGGGGGGGGGTAGACACTAATCCACTCCCGGGGGGCAGGTGGGGACAACAGATCTGTTTCGCCCATCAGCCATGGATGCACCAAACCTGCACCGTTTCCGCTGTACGAGGTATCTCGCGATAGCCCTACATCACAGCAACACAGCCTTGCGTGTCCTGGCTCGATTGGTGCCTCGTGGGCGGAGATACAGACGGGGGGGGATTTAGACACTAATCCCCCCCCGGCGGACAGGTTGGGACAACAGATCTGTTTTGCCCATCAGCCATGGCTGCACCAAACCTGCACCGTTTCCGCTGTACGAGGTATCTCGCGATAGCCCTACATCACAGCAACACAGCCGTGCGTGTCCTGGCTCGATTATTGCCTCGTGGGCGGAGATACAGACGGGGGGTATTTAGGCACGCCGAAAAAACAACGTACCGAACAAAAAATCACTATTAAATAAAAAAAATATACCCAGAAAGGGTACAAGAATTGTCGAACAAATAGTTATCTGCTGCTCCTGCTGATGATGCCGTTTGATTGATATAAAATGAGTATATTTGTACAGACTACGTATCCATATGACAACGAGTGCATCCATCTGAATCCCAGTCTTGTTGTTTTATATTGTTGTGTTCACCGAGATTTGTTTTTTCAAAACATGGACTATTCGATATGAACCCAAAAAATTGCGATACAGCAAAGACAGGGACGGAAAACTGGTGAAGAGGGCAGGATCAGCGCGCATGGTCGCGTATGGTTGCACACTTCTGGCGAATGCGCATGGTGGCGCATCAGCGCACCGTATGTGCTTTCGTCGTAGCTTGACTATTAACACGCACACTTCTGGAGCATGCAACTTGCTTGCTCAACCGACTTACCGTATGCGCTTTCGTCGCATCATGGGTATTTAATTGGCATCAGGTCGCGTTGGCAACACTCTCGGCGCCCTCACTCGACGCCCTCACATGCCCTCACACTTCCATTTACAGAACCGTATCACCTATATGAACATGATCCTGGTTGCTGCTAAGTGGACCTCGGTTGCAACGGTAATGGGCATGTTTGGACATTTAACATTTGGATTTCGGCATATCTTGTTCTCTCGCGGCATCCAGTCTTTTCTCGCGATTCCTTCTCAGGGGCACGCAGTACGCTCGTCAGTATATCAGCGTTAGTGCCCGGAGCTCGGCAGGCCTCCGTGGCGAGTGTGGCTGACGGTCAAAGTTGCAAAAACTGGCTCTATACCCCGGGGGCGTGTTGCGCGCAGATAAAGACTAACGAATCAATTCTGAAACCCATTAATATACAACAGCTTTGAAATGTTCGTCTCTTGCTTCATCTCCAATTCATTCATTCATTCACCGATTTCTCCAAGTCATTTTTTGTCATCGCAACGTCCAACAGTACCTACGTTTGCTCTTTTGCACTTCGCAATGGCCAAAGTGAAACGCTGCTGTTTTAGACAGGTCGTATCGCCTGCACCCGCAGTGTTGAATATGTCTTTTTCATGTCTTTTTCTGTTTTTTTCGGATTAAATTTCGGTTTTCACCGTCGGGACGCGAACGTAGGTGCCTCGATTACATCCTGACGCGCCAATCACACCGCGGCCGAGTGTCCAACATGGAGGTCGTACCTCAGCCAGTGCGCCCAGTCAGAGCGGACTCAGACCACAACATCGTAGTAGCCACCGTCGACCTCGGTGGCCGGCTGGCCCACAACCGACCTATCCGGACCAGCCCCAAACGGCGGCAGTTCAACCGACAGGATTTGCAGATCGAGGCAGCGCGATGGGCGGTGTCCCAACGGTTTCTCTGCAACTTGCTCGCGAGGTCGGGCGCGCCGGCGACCACCGC